ACCGGAACCAGCGTGCCTTGAAGAGGAGTCCGTCCCTGAGGGCGGTGGCAATGCCCGCGAGGCTCTCACCATCTGCACCAGATGGCGTTTGACGACAGACAGACAGACGCTGAACAGTGGGCCCAGTACAGTGTTACGCTCCGAGTTCTTCCAAAGAAGAGTGCGCCCAGTACAGTGTCACGTTCTGAGTTCTTCCAAAGAAGAGTGCGCCCAGTGCGGTGTCACGTTCTGAGTTCTTCCGCAGAAGGCCGTCCACACGCGCGCGTTGCTCACCATAGCAGGTGTGGCCAGATGGGGAGCAATACATGGGTAAGAGGTGTGACAAGTGTGGCTCTGGTCAACTGGTGAAGTTGGAGTGGTGGAAGCACTGGATGGCCAGTTTCATTTGTTTATGTCAAAGGTGGTAGGTGTAACAGCATTGGCCTGAGTGGTGTACTTTTTTAGGGTCATGGGACACCAAACTTTGCGATGTCATTCATATGCTCAGAAACATGTTTTGGGAATGTGTATCTATGCCATTTCCGCTAATAATATTTATCTTTCCTTAATGTCATTCGGTATGATTGTCGCACTCTTGAAATGAACAATCGCGATTCACAATGGTAATCGATGACATATTTGCACTGGAATTGTTGCATCTCACACAAGTTCACGTGAAACGCACTGCAGTGCAATAAACGACAATGCGATACGATTGTCCAGCCCCATGGCGTCTTTGTCTGCGGTAATACAGCCAGCAATTTCGGTCCGATCCCGACTGTTCCCTGACTTTGCCAGTTGGGTAATGCTTGTGGTTGGCCCACAAAATGAAACACTGGCTGGGATGTGCAACCCACCCTTGCCCGGATAATTTCCAGACTGCCCCCGAGCAGCCGGTTGGGTGATCTCGTACGTTCTCCGAGTCGTCTATAGCGAGTTTATCTTAAAGGGAGTATCTCACCTTTTGTGTACTTTTCACGTATTGTTGCATCAGGCACGTACGATTTGATCAGTCATACCAGTTTGTTCGAAATCCGTCTGAATAGCCCAGAATTTTCATGTGAAGCAGCCGACTCTGGGAGAGAAATCATATCTCACTCCCTGCTCACCACTATAAAAGTAATACATTTCATTTCTGTCACTTTCTGATGTTGCAAATGGTGCGTCTCTAGACTGTCCCGTGCTTGCGGATCTTCCACGCGTCCTTTCCACAAAACCCTTCACCTGGACGGTCCCTTGGAGCGCGTCAGCGAGGTGGCTCATATTGACATCATAGCGGCCGCTATGAGCAACAGTTTTTGTGAAACATAGATCAGTGCAATCGCCACCAACGCGCTGCTGTCGCCGTGCTCCGGTGCTCCATCATGTCGTTTCGGTTTCTTCTTCCACCGCGAGTGTATGCAACGAGCAATGCTGCACTGCAATGGCACAGCCGTTTCACGCGCCTAAAGCGTTTCAGCCAGTGCAGCCAGGCAGTGCACGAAGCCGCTGGCGAGCCCGCTCAAAGGGAGCTCCATCACTGGAAATATGACCCTAATTGAGCACTTCCCGACTCGCGTTCGTCCGACTGGCGCTGCGAGCTGGCGGGAGCCCGCCAAGCCCATCCACAGCCCGACAATAAACTGTCACGGGCGCTATACAGTAGCCAACACGACTGAATCAGCGTACATCAGCAAGACAACGCCAACAAGCACCAGCTTTCAATCACTGGCTCATCACAGGGCCTCCAATATAATGACCGTAAAAAACAACGTAGTGTTAAGTTAATGACCAAAACATTTTACTACTTCACGTAAGTTGTGAACTGCATTTGCTAGGAGCATTCTGCATATAGATGAGACGGTAATAATAGTCTTCTTCCCGGTAGAATAAGCATGAGAATGGAAGGAAAGATGTGATATTTCGGCTCCATGCCTATATCAAAACAAATGTGGGTAGCAAATTCAAAATTTTCTGCCGATCTTACTAGATTTTCAGTTTTTTTTTAACAACGAGCCGCAGCTTTTACAGAGTACTAACCATCAAGAATTCAACAAGGAGCAGTTGCCAGCTATTTATATGATGCAGGGCACATCTAACTACGTACTAAATTACCATAAAAATACGTCTACGTGCAACCGAACTCAAGTTTATAGACATCGCGCATAACACACTCATACATGTAAGCGATTTCATTAAAATAACTTAAAGTAAACAGGCATCACTCATCATGCATCACCTATACATGCAAATGATTTCAATTAAACAGGCATCACGCATCACGCGTCAGGGATCACTCATGCATGAAAATGATTTTAAGCTAGCGCGCATCCCACATCAAGGCACTAATCGCATTTACACAATTGGTCACACGGAGCCCTGTGTGTTAAGTCTGGTTGCCGACTTGTTATAAAATTATTCTAGCGAAAAGTGAATATTATTAGTATCTGATATAGTATCAAGTTTAAGTTAATCTATTAATATCTTAAAAGATTCGCTTATTTTCCTATCTGAATGGTCCTGTGCTCTGTAGATGACTTTGAACTCTAAAAGTGGTTAAGTGTCCATACCTCCCTGAACTTCAGCCTGAGCGTGTTATGTCAAAAAAGGCCATCAAAGAGGTATTCGCTCTTAAGTTTACAACATCTGACATGTGTTCATTGTGTCTAAAATGAATGGGGCGCGTGGACTCCCCGACATAAACTATGTCCCTCCCACGTCTCTTTACATAGTTTGCTCTGAACTTCATAAACCAGACTTATGCGTTCAACCCCTTGAAACTCAGACTCGCGTAATGACATCTATTGCCGTCCGGGTGCTTAGGGTTCGAGATAAAACATTTCACCAGAGACATTTTTAACTTATTGTCGGTCGGTCGTCCTGCACTGAAATCAGGTGTTCATGCTTGCCATATCGCACTGCCGACCTATGCTCCCGACATCGCAGTGGTATCCACACGTGAAACGAAGTTCGGCACCGTAAGGCCCATCGTGTACGGCACACGGCCAACTATTACGTAAGTTGTGGAGTGCACTTGCGAGGAACAATATTCGCATAAATAAGACAGTAGTAATAACCTTAGTTCTCGGAGAAAAGCTGGAAAATGCAGATAAAGATGCGTTGATAGTTTGGCAACATGCCTTCATCGAAATGAATAGCGGAAGTTATATATATAATATATATATATATATATATATATATATATATATATATATATATATATATATGAAAATAGCAATCCGTCTTACTTTAATTAGTTGTGCTTCATTTATGTTCTCCGTACTAAAAAGATGTTTTCCAACAGTAGTGCACAATTTTTTCAATCCGTTAAAACTCAAAACTTATTTCTTGTGCAATTTAGTCTTCTCCGAAGATGAGATAAGATCTCGAAACGTTAGAATGGAAGGAGTGATGAATATATGAGTAATTTTGTACGAACCATCTTTAAATCTAAGCGATGACGCAAAGTCAAAGGCCCGGAAGCTAGAACGATGCAACAAAAAGCTCGTTAATGCTGAGTCAGCAGTTATTTTTAATCAAACATGTATCCAAGAAAGAATTCTGCCAAAATATTCCAATATATTATATATATATATATATATATATATATATATATATATATATATATATATATATATATATAGTTAATGCTGAGTCAGCAGTTATTTTTAATCAAACATGTATCCAGGAAAAAATTCTGCCAAAATATTCCAATGTATATTATATATATATATGCATATTATATAATCGCAGAGTCGTCTGCTTTCCATAAAGGTGCGCTGCTGAAATATCAACGCATTATATCCCCATTCTCTTGGTTTTTCCCCGAGGACTAAGGCTATTACTGCTGTCTTATTTACGTCAAATATGGTCATGTACGCTGTGCATGCTTATAAGCATAAATTGCAGTACACTGATGACATATTTTCCGTGCAAAAGATGGGAGTGCTGGGAGTAATGGAATGGGTACTCGATATTTGCACGGGTTTGTGATCTGAAATAGCATTTATGAAGATAATTCAGCACAGTTCACGGCCTTGTCATTTCAAAACTTAAAACCCTTTGGATTTTGAGCTTGATGTCAGCAAACTTAAGCAGACTATTTCGTGCAGTCTATTTCAAGGTCACCCAGAAATGCATGCCATCCTAGATACGCCAAGCAAATATTGCTACCTCATGTTATATAACCGTAGCGCAAGCCAAGCCAAACTGTCAGCCCATTGGTCATGTAATGGTTATGGCCCGAAGCATATGATAAACGATTTATTCGCATCTGGCGTGCGTCAGCACTATTCTGTCACCAACGAATCTCAACCGTCTCTCAACCGGTATAATGCGTTGAGTGCAAGTTTTGGGCACGCATCACGTTTTGGCTACGCTACACAGGAAGATGGACAATGGCACGGGTTATGACTGCAATAGGTCCAGGAATAAAAAAAAAAATAGGAATAACGTCATAGGGAAGGATGCGAACGCTACCAAATGATACAGAATCACCGGCAAATATGCAAGAAGACACGAGATACGGCGAAAACACGCGCGCATAACGATATTTGTGCTGATACAACACACCGATTAGCACGACATCCCTCGGCAATTTAAAGTACGACAAGAAAGTTAGCCCGTCCGCTACGGTGACAATGTCACACGGCTAGTTTGGCGGCCACTCTGACGTCATACAAACGTTCCATGACTTAGTAAAACGACGACGTATCGGATAGCATGTTGACTAAGTTGCGACACTGTGTTGTCTAGAGCAGTCTTCTGCACTTTAAAGCTCACCAATACTTACAAGTGAGCTAATTTTATCATATTCCATACTTGCATTAATGTGTTCACAGGTGGAACATGCTGTTCAAGTAACAGTACGCATCGAATATATAATGAACAAAATCGATTACATGTATACAAATGGGTGTTTAAACCCCATTCACAAGTGATTAGTTAAAGCACCGAGCAGCAATCGTTTCAGAGGTGGGTCCGAATTCACGATATCCCTGCTAGCGATCACGGTCTCCCCGAGTCAGTACCAGCGACAGTACCTTGACCAGAGCGTGCTGCTTCAGCTTGAGCAAGTCCAGCTTGAAGGTAGTCCTCTTGCCCTCGCTGAACTGGATGGGGCCGGTGAGACCGCGCAGTTCCCGTACCTGCGGCAGCCGGCCCAGATCAGCCGCCGACCGCCTGAGGGCCTCCCCGCACACGCCAGCCGCAGCGCACGCTGTTTGCCCCGAGGCTAATCTGGAGGTCTGAGTGGCGGCGGCCGGACCACTCCACTGGCCCCGTGGCCGGGGCTGGTCCACTCCAGTCCGCTGGCGGCCGCGGGCAGCAGCCGGTGGCGTTTGGCCCGGTCACCTCGGCCGAAGACCGGAGAGACGCGTCCGGAGTGCCGCAGGTCACCAGGTTATGCGGTCGACTTAGCGGTCATCTGTACCGAACCGCAAGCACACTGCGTATGGGATCAGCATGGGACGCGTATCAGTTGCTTGGACGTGCGAGTTCTTCGGAATCAATATCATCAGCAGCGGACTACGTCTGCTGCAGCCGAGCGCCAGTGATCAGCCAGCGGCTCCGCCGGCCTGTTATTACTCAGCGGAGCTGACCTCGGCGTCACCGCGATCTCCCGGAACTACTGCCACAGCATTCACCGGCTACTGCCACAGCATTCTCCGGCTACTGCCACAGTATTCACGGGCTACTGCCACAGCATTCACTGGCTACTGCCACAGCATTTTCCGGCTACTGCCACTATTCACCGGCTACTGGCACAGCATTCACTGGCCACCGCCACAGCATTCATTGGCTACTGCCACAGCATTCACTGGCCACCGCCACAGCATTCATTGGCTACTGCCACAGCATTCACTGGCCACCGCCACAGCATTCACTGGCTACTGCCACAGCATTCACAAGACGGCGCGCCGCCACTGCTGCCCAGGCGCCCCGTTCAGACAATGATCATCCGGACAGCAGTCAAGGCCGCGGTGGGGACTTCTCTATTGACGACGAACCCGGCGAACTATTGGTTGCTACCATAGCGGCGCCGGTTGTCGCGATGGGTGCCACGGAGCTCGCTATATGTGATGTATGTGGCTCGCCATATGAGCCGCTTAATCTGTATACTATTCGATCCGGGAGGGTTTTGCTACTAGCAGACCCATGGAGGCTTACTATACATTTGTTAGTGGTGGTCTAGATTGGGTCCAATGCCTTTTAAGTGCAGCATTGTTGAATAACACATGCTGAAACTGGGATCACTCAATGAGGTGCTAATCCAACGATGTTCTTCATTCGCAGTGCGAAATAGCACTCAGCTGGTTCCTGGGTTTGCAATAGTGATTTATACGCACATCTGATAAGCCAGAAGTATGAAGTTCGATTGCGGCGGTGTCCGCCCCTAATACCGGAGTAAGACAGGCGACGGTAGTGCAATATTCTGTAGTGCAGCAGTGTAGTGCAGTGTAGTGTAGGGCATTCATAGTGCAGCAGCCTGGGCTGCTGAGTGCGTTGTTAAACCTCAAGGACAACAGTTCGGGTAATCCTGGGACCAGAACTAGGACGCGTGTTGTACCCGTATTGCGTACGGTCCTCCTGCATCATCGGTCTTTTCTGGTGCTTATCTACGCACGACAGAGCCGAAGCTGCCCAGGGTGATTTGACTCCCATTGAAGCGCTCGCTAATGTTTAGACTTTGACCCAGAAACCTTTGATAATACCAGCACTTGTAAGATATCACTGGTCAAACATGGCAATCGATCCGTAATCCCACCATCTGACCATCCCCATGAGCCCGAACTGTCGCAGGCCGTCGGGCTGGGCCGCCCGCGTACACTGAACGGCCGGCGGCGCTGGCGGTCACGCACTCCCACCCTACCCCCGGACGCGTCCTCACCGCGTTGATGTAGTTGAAGAGACTGCTGCCGTCGGGCCAGGGCTGCTCGCGGCCGCAGGAGACGCTGCTGTACTCGAGGGGAGCGCCGCCCTGTAGCGCCGTCAGCGCGCGAGCAAACACCAGCACCGAGTCGAACATGAGCGCCGGCTGGGCCTGCGACGCGAGCCCAGAGTCCTGTCGTTCACAGGCCACAGGGGACCAGCGGACCGGGGCACAAGTACCGTCAACGGGACACACGAGGACACACGGACACACGGGACGGGGGGACAGGTACCGTCAACGGGACACACGGGACACACGGAACACACGGGACCGGGGGACAGAGATACCGTCAACGGGACACACGGGACACACGGGACGCACGGGACCGGGGGACAGGTACCGTCAACGCCGGAACCGGTCAACGGGACAACACGGGACACACGGGACACACGGACGGGGGACAGGTACCGTCGACAGTACAGTGCTCAAACAATGTAGGGATGCCATCTCGTGTGGGACTTTATCGCTGGGGCAGGAAAGCAGCACCCGGTTCTAACGCGTACCAGACCGCTGGTCAATGCACACTAAAAAGCGTGATTGTGTTTTACAGCTGAGGGCGGACTGAGCCGGTCTCGCCGTTGCGTTGGCTGATAACGTGCAGTAACACTATACACTCAGATTTCTCATCCTTGAAATGCGTTTAAAAAACGTGCGTGAGGTACGTCAGCATCTCGAGACCATGCAAGCCGTGGCACTGAGCACACCCTACGAGGCTCGGTCAGGGAATCGACCGCGAGCGCAGGTAATCCACGGATCAGAAATTCGGTAGCATCCTGTAACGGCGCATCCCACTACATCAAGCTGTGCTTGTAGCGCTTAGATTGTTATGAGAATCGCGGTCCTGTCAGAAGCCTACCCGATCACAACATGATCTAAGAGACGGTCCGAGAGTTGCTCCCTGTCTCCGCCCAGAGAACGCCGCGTCCATCACAACCGTTGGCTCTCCCCCCAGGCCCCCTCCCCCCGCCCCCGGATCGTCTATTATGTAATGCGGCGGGACCAGAACGACCCGGAATCAATGGGACGGCAGGACGATAGCCAACGTCAATACGTGGTGTTTGATATGGCCGTCCGAAGGCAAACACGACAGGGGCATGACATCCCGCAGAGGTGACGACCAGCGCGTGGGAGCGCGGCCCCGTCGATCACCGAACGGACGCCTGCATCCAGCCGTCAGCGCCGACATGCACAACAGGGGACAGCACTGGGCTGGCACGGCGCCGGTGTCCTCAGGGGGTCTGATCCGCTGCACTGAGAGCTCGCGGCAGGACTGGGCTGGCACGGCGCTGGTGTCCTCAGGGGCTCTGATCCGTTGCACCGGGAGCTTGCGACAAGACTGGGCTGACACAGCGCCGGTGCGCTCAGTTAGAAAGGAGAAAGAGTGAGAAAGGTCAGTGAGCGAAAGTGAGAAAGGTCACACTGAAGGGGTCTAAAAAAGAAAATCTAAGAATTTCTATGTTTTTAGAACATTTTGCCAGCCATTTAGCGTGAACGTGAGTGATTCAGTTCCAACAATGTGTCGTGTTTTTGCATACCTCAATGACACCCGATTTGGAGATGATGCTGTGGCCGACAGGTTGAAACTGTTCCATCTGGCGCAGGATCTCGCGAACGTGAAACGAGTCGGACACCAGCCGGAACGCCGTCATGTTCACGAAGTTGTACTTGAAGTCCTCCAGGTCAAACGTCTCGATATCCTGCAGGCATCGAAACCATTGGGAGACTATTTCAAGATCAGCCAAGCATATGTGACGCTATGATAACGCCGTTCAAAACTGTTGGCCATGCGGCGATCAAGGCCAATAAAAATTATCAATGTCAAGTCGTTCATATCTGGCGTTCGTGAGCACGAGTTGTGGATACAACGGCTGTCAGTTGACTCTTAATCAATGTTGTGCGTGACACGGGGACGTAATCGAACAATGACATAATGAGGAGCACCTTTACCAAATAGAAAAATTGGGTTGCATAGGGGAACCTTTTTCACTTGGAAGCACACGAACAGCCATGGTGTGCTTTCATCGTATCTGATGCTTACTTCACTATCTTTGAATATGAAACATAATCCTCTCAGGCTGCCCAACACAGAACGCTTTTTGTTGCGTAGCGTTGGGATGCGATGGGAAGCAGAGAGGAACTAAAAGTAGCATAGCGTTGTAACCAATTCAATTCCCAACGCGCAAGAACCGCAGGGAAAGGACGGAATGCCGGTTCTTGGTGGACAAAACTTGTGATTATATATAAAGATACTATGTATGTATACATATATTTACATCTAAACATATCTATATTTATATGCATACATACTGTAGGTATAGGTACTAATATCTTATCTGATAATAACTTTGAGAAGAAAGCAGGGGCGTGCGTATGCAGCTTATCAGGAGCACACGTGCCTCTCCGTACGAAATTTATGGCATGTATGAACACGCGACCGGTTGGTTGGTTGGATGTCCTTCGCTCGGGTGGAGCGGGGTCAGTTTGAACCCGCCTGAGATCTCGAGAACTAAGAGAGCTAGAGACACCAAATTCATAGAATGTTTTGACCTGTACATGAGGTATATCAGGTCAAATATTGAGGTTTCTAGGTCCTAACCTTCGGGTCAAATAAGATCAAACAAGGTTAGATTCAAGATTGGTATCCAAAGAGCCCATAGAACCTAGGTAATTGTTCTAAACCAAACGCCACACACTAAATTAAGGTCAGTGACCTTGTTTGAACTTTAAGCATGCACCCGGGTGGCCGGTTGGATACCCTTCGCTCGGGTGGAGGGGGTCAGTTTGACCCCCTCCACTGAGATCTCGAGAACTAAGAGAGCTAGAGACACCGAATTCGCAGGGTGTCTTGACCTTTACGTGAACTCACTTAGGTTGAAGTTTTAAGTTCATAGGTCATGACCTTCAGGTCAGATGAGGTAAAACAGGGTCAAATTCCAGATCGGTCTCCAAGGCGCCCCAGAACCTAGGCAACTGTTCTAAGCAAAATTTCATACGCTCAGTTGGGTCAGTGACCTTCTTTGACCTTTTAAAAGTCATACTGACCAAAAGGATGCAAGACTGTTTTGAGTTTTGCATTTCGTTAAGCGGCAAAGATTACGCTAGACAGTATGTCCCTAAAAACAAAATGTTGACCAAAGTCATTTTAGGTAAGTGACCTATTTTGACCTATGAGAAGTTCATGGAAGGTGTATAAGGCGGTTCCTGCTATCAATATATTCAAAGTGAGCACCAGAAATCATCCCAAACAGCAAGCCTGAAAGTAATAGAGCAGGTTGGTTTTAACCTTGGTCTGGCCTTCATGCCTGACCCTAGGTCAATGTTATTTATTAATTCAATTGTTGCGTTGCCTAAGAAAGTATCTCAGAAATGTCTGGTTTCGTCTAACACTCCGTTGTCTGATTGGGTTGAATGATTCCTTAGAACGTGTCTTCGCTGAAACCATGGCCTGGTTTTGACCTGTCATAGGTTAACGGCCTTGCAAAGTACATTTAATTCATTGATGTCATACGATGCGCAGTTAAATTTTCTACAGCTATGCGGGCTTCGGTGAGTGTACGCCGCGCCGTTCTGCAATCATTCCGGAGGAGAACTATCGGGGGCCAATTTGACCCACACCTGAGCGCGTGTTAATGAATACGTACGTAGTCAAATGTTGGCAGCTACAAATTCCAGGGAAACGCGTAAAAGTACTCTGAACTTGTGACTCACAATCCATTACATCCATGTTAAACCAATTCGGCGTTGCATAATCGCATGCGATTATGCTTCGACAGCGTGATTCGCTTCCTTAGAGCCCCTCATTAGAAGTTATGACAGCAATCCAACCTATTCTACAGCCGTTATGTAATATTCCGAGCACAATAACGACAATGACCTTTGCCTATATCGCCTGAAGTCCGTGGCCATCCAGGTTTTGCCGAGCGGGGTGCAGGTCACCGAGGACACAAACCACACGTGTCCAAAGGCACTGACATGACATCTTCGGAACTTGTCTTAACGGCTGAAACGAGCTTCGTTTGTTTATCATAAAAATGCCACCGACAGGCACGAAACCTAGCTGCAGGTGACAGATGAGTGTCACCTGTAGCTGGTGACACTTATATGTCACTGACATGTGACACTCATGTGTCACCAGCTATCCCGGGGGGGGGGGGGGGCGGCTCAGGAGGGCATGCCACCCAGTTTTCCCGAAGTGGGCTTTGGCCCCTTCAATTTTACCCGTCGCACCCACATTTTTCATATTTTCACATTTAAGATGCCTCTTTTAAATCAGATTACCCACACATTTCATTCCATCCGGAGGTTGTTTTCAGTCTGACCAGTGCAATCCAGGTTTGACTCACCCACCTCTAAAACGTGGTTACCCCCACGACGGATGATGTCAGTCAAACAAAACACGTTGTCATTGTAGGCATGCATATGATCTAATAGGTGAGACTGCCAGGTGAATCTAACTAGGCAGTGTAAAACATCCCAAAATGTAAAATATTATACTTCGAAATGTGCAAGAGCATATTGGCATGCTGGTGAGCAGCAGGGTATTTTGAATTCACTGCACCCACAGAGCCAGACAGTCCATCACATATATTAAATTCATAGTACATTAAGGAGTTTACACAAGTACACAAGTACCTAAAGGAGATCACAATTGCGTGTAAAATTTGTAGATTCGTTTTCTCTCAAAAATCTTCATTCGACATCTTACCTTCAAAGAGCCATAACACAGTGATCGTTCGAGATATGACCTTCGTACGCAAGCTTGCGGCAGGTGTCTTCATATATATATATATATATATATATATATATATATATATATATTATGGCTTCGAATGAAATACGACAAGTTTCGAAGATGCTTGCAGCATTCATTATTTAATGCTCGAGCCTGGAGGTGATAAGTCAGGACGTGCTGAAAATGTTGAGCCAATGTCATCCCCACCAGGTTTTTGTAATTCACAGAAACTATCTAGGGGCGGTAAACCGTTCGGCAATCAGTCAATGGCTGATTAGTGGTCTAAGGACCGATATCCAGCAACGCATTCTCTCAGATTGTACGGAGCCGCCTGGCGCCGGGCCGTGTTGGCGACGTGCTCGTGCTCGTCCACCCTCATCCTTCTGACGGGCTGGCCGGTACGCACCCTTCCTCGACCTGGCATGGTGGTCGAGGTCCAGTCGGCGATGCTGGTAGGCTGGACGCTGATCTAAATGCCGGTCCCTCCACCCGCAGGGAGGAGTGCACCGGAATTATGGAGCGCCAATAACTTGCCTGCACCACGATTCCCATCGGGACCCCCAGAACTTCATCTTATTACTGTGTACGTTAATTATGGATATCTTAATTAAACGTTCTGACTAGGGACGTGACCTTCATGGCTTTGATCGCGCGTTCAGAATTCCGAAATGACCGAAGTATTTTCTGAGGCTAGACAGCCTTTTCGTCGCGCTTAACAACAGCCGTAATCGAGCTCACGGTTCTAGGTATCGCGCTCACTAATTCAAAACCCAAAGGACTGCATCCGTGGTTGCTGTGCCTGCCAGCAAGTTGGGAGCTTTCCTGAAAATGTCTCGACGAGGTATTTCGCTCCAGACAGACCGTTTTCGCCGTCGTCCAAACATTCGTTTTGACCATTTGAGATACGCCCAACGGGCGGGGGATCGTATAGCGCCGCTGGTGCGCCGCCTCCAAATCGCATCCTTCCCACCCGTCGGGCGTCGGAGGAGGGAGAGGGGGGGGGGGGGGGGGGGGAGAGCAGCAGCGTGATTAGCTGGTGGCATCGCTCGTCGACCCGGCTGCTGGCGGCAGGGTGGCACGCGTGGTCGTGATGGCTACGTGACGCAGCGGTCCGTGAGAGGGCCCGACGCGGCGCGGCGCGCCAGCGCTAATATCCGGCGTGGGATCGGCCGGCCCCCTCGGCCGGGCCGGCGGCCGCCCGGCTGTGATTCTCACACAGCGCCGGCGGTGGCGCCGGCCGCGCCCGCATCGCCCGAGAGGCGCTGTAAATAATGGCGCGGGGGCGGCGATGATAGCGTGGAAGGCGTCGCGAGGAGTCTGATGATCATCAGCTGTGCCCACAATGGCCGGCTACTGCTGAACGCACGTGCTGTTTTGTCTTCAGTGGTCACATGTATAAAAAACGTTCCGAAGCCGGCCAAGTCTTTCGGGCCTTTCTTTAGTACTGCAAGAATTTTGTTGTCTAATGATCTCGTTATGATGCTTAGGTGTTACATTATAAAGGGCCATAAGTTGGAGCTTGCGCACGATGCATGAAATACGCTTCTGACCCCGCACTCAGCTGACGAGGCGTGTCCTGCTGTGTTGACAATTAATTTTGCGTGACTTCTTCCCATATTTTGTATTTTTGCTTCCCACCACCCTGGCGTGTCTTAAATATGTCGTGCATTTAACACGACATACATTTTGACTCGTGTGCATCGTTGTGATTGAGGACAAACACAATTTCGCCCAGTTTGGCATCTGAAGAGGATCAGTGCCGCGTGCATTAACAGTCACACACGACTGACCTTACTTCGGAGCAAGGTCACCTGAGTCGCGTCAGTCCGTGAGAGCTGGCGGGCCCCCATCGACCGTGCCTTGACCCCCGAGCACGGGGCGATACAGTCGTGTTTGCGATGCCAGCCCGCTACGGGTTTGGATTGCTCTTTCCGCGTGACCTGGGCCGGCCATGCTCCACATGATCGGCAGTGTAGTCGACGGTGGTAAACGCTCGCTGGTCTGTCTCGGCCTGAGAGGGCACCAGGCTGACGCCGCAGTCGGCACCTCTCAATACTCGCGTCATCACGCTGACGTCACACTGTGCTCGTCAGTGCTGTAGTGGTTAAGCCGCTCGCCTGGGAAATCAGAGGCACAGGGTTCGATTCCCCGCGGCGCTCGACCTTCTTGCCAGGGTGAGAGGCAGGCGACGCCAAATAGCCTCAGCAGCTGAGTGTGCCGTAAAGCACTAATGACCACCACCAGAACGGCGCCGTTGCATCGATGCTTGCTCCGGCGTCTGTGACTCAGTCCGCGTCTGACGCCAGGTGCCGAGTCGCCGGGCTGTGGCATTACGTTGCAGACGTTAAACCCACATACTGCGCTTCACACAAGCCTCGGCGCTTCACAGCCCAAAAATTCGTCGATAGATCAAGTTTTAGGGTTGTCGCAATCTTGTCAGTTCAAGAAGGCCTCTACTGGGCCACATGCTCTGAGGTGTAATTACCGAGGGGTAAGTAGGTGCATCCTAGGTTCCCACATGCGGCCCGAGCTTAATTCCCGGTTTTCCCTTAGACCATGGGCGTTAATAAAGCCACTGCATTCTCTGGCGCTTCAAAACATTGTGCGCGATGACCTGTATGGTGTTCCTAACCAAGTCGACATCCTTCGCCCAGTGAAAACCGTCTCATCTATAGCATGAAGATTAATAGAAAAGCATGGACCAGTGCCGCCGGTGTTTTTTTAATTTAATATTCATTTTCCAATGTTAAGAAACACATGCCTCATTTCACAATTGCTAAGAGAACACGCGTTTCGCTATTCAAAACGTTCACGCTCAAAACGCTACCCGATGGTTTACTTTCTAGTATGGCTATTGATCAACTACCGATCGGCAAGAAAGTATCATATAACACACCAGTAAGCGAATAAAAGTCCGTGAGTTGGATGGCATGTTGAAGGTCGCATTCAACGACCGTCAACAAACTATATTTTTTTTGCTGCATGCCCACGCCTGGTATATGACTTTCTTTAGAAAAGGACAAATGAAGGTAAGCAACGTGGTCATTTCAGAGGGGGGCGGGGGAGGAAAGCAAAAATATAGGTCGTGAAGGGACTTTCCCATAAGCATCACAGAGTGTGTTTACCTTCGTCAAATATAATCACATTCACGTGGCTGTAACAATCAAGGCAAAATAGTAAACCAAAGCATAATACTTGCCAAGTCTCTGTAGCCTCGGAACGGAAAGCCTTCAAAATGGATAACAAATGAGCAACTGTTGGATAAAACTTACACATACCAAATACAGGCAGTGGGAGGTGGGGGAGGGGGTGGCGAATAGTGCACTATATGGCGCACTATCCGCAGCTATATAGTATCTGCACTATCTGCACTATCTGCACTATAGATGGTGCAGATAGTTAACGCGTGGATCTGGTAACGAAAATCATATCCGTAAAACTTCTACTGCGAGAGATCTATGATGTTAAACGCGGGGCATACAAACCAAACGCATGACAAGCAGCTTCATTTGTTATTACCATGCGCATTCCCCAAACTTAATTCACAATCCGTGTTTTTTTACTGCAGTCTTCCCCAGCCCGCGCTATCTGCACTATCTGCACTATAGATAGTACAGGTAGTTAACACGTGGATCTGGTAACGAAAATCATATCCGTAAAACTTCTACTGCGAGAGATCTATGATGTTAAACGCGGGGCATACAAATCAAACGCATGACGAGCAGCCTCATTTGTTATTACCATGCGCATTCCTCAAACTTAATTCACAATCCGTGTTTTCTTACTGCAGTCTTCCCCAGCCCGCACTTACAAATGTAGTAAATAGGTAGTGGTACTTGTAATCGTTCATTTGGAGCTGCAGAATCTGAAAATGAGGCGTGTGGCGGATCAGCCGAGGCCATGTTATTTCATCTCACAGAATGTGACAGTTGTCCGCACACAACTGTTCAGCACACGTCGAAGCCAAAACTCCTATATGAAAACGACATCGCACCTGTTAGAATACAGTCGAAAACTGTGCACTTGTTAAATACAAATGAAACACACCGTTACAAGATAGTTCACATCGCATCATGTATCACGCATCAAAGTCCAGTCACAACGGCGTTACTCACCGCGCGAAGAAAAGTCGGCATCGATTCTGCCCTGGTGTCGACGATCAGGTTGAAAATTTCCCGGGATTTGACCTCCTTGAGGACGTGACGGAACGTGTCCGGCGTACCCTGCCGGATCGCAATCTCTATTTCCATGTTCGGTGGTGTTCTTATTAAATCCTGGAGCTTTATTAGTCCTGCAACACCGAGCGGGATTCATCATGTCGCTGGTTAGTAGACTGGTCAACATATGTGTCTGGCAGAAACAACGCGTACGACATTTGAGTCGGGGATTCTAAATGACGTTCCTGCTTTGCCTGAGCAAGTAAAGTGCTCCTGTTTTGCATAAGCAACTTAAGTGTTCCTGCCCTACATAAGCATGCGTCAGTAGTTCTGCATACTTAAGAAACAGCCACACAATCCCTATGGCGCCGGCTGAGTGGTTGTACACCCGTTAGTTGATGGAGATATGCGTTTTGTTCGTCTGTCCGCCAGCTCCCGGCACGGGCGTTCGGCAGCCCGTCAGGCTGTTGTGACGTCTGTCAGGCGCTGAAGCACCCCGCTGTTGCTGCGGTACCGCCTCGGAAGCGGCGTCACTGCAGGCGGCCGGCGCGGCAGCGTGGCAGGCAGCTGGCCGTGAGATAGCACCGGCTCGGCGCCCCGGCCGCGCCGGCCCGCCAGCCCATTGGGGTCCGTCACGGCCATTAGGTCGGCGGGGCACGGCGCCACACGCCACCGGCGCCGCGCGTCGACCGCCGTCTCCAACCGCCGGACGTCCGGACACGGCGCCACACGCCACCGGCGCCGCGCGTCCGCCACCGTCTCCAACCGCCGGACGTCCGGACACGGGTCCACACGCAGCCGGCCATCTGGACACGGGTCCAGCCACAGCCGGCTATCTGGGGATGCACCTGATAGCCTGATTCATGCGTTCGCAGGCGACTGCGAGACCTAGGGAAGCGAATACAGGAGGGGGGGGGGGGGGGGGGAGGGGGGCAGCGAGTATAAGAAGGGACGGGAGGACGGAGGCAAGAAACAGTACCAACAGCCCAGATGTTGGAACATACGTAAGCAAGGAAGACATGAAAAGCTGTCCTGTAAATGAACCAACAGACTGTCGGCCGCCCTGGCCGTCTTCAGCCCAGTCGAATTTTGAGAGGTGTGGTCAGCCATCAAATCGACCGTAGGAAAGCCCCAAATCAAATAAATGCCAAAGAAAGGCAAAAAAACACCAAGCTAGTACCAACAATCGTGATAGCTGCCCGGACATATTAGAATCACCAGATGCCGACACGAGGTGAACGACCAACTGCCAGTTCTTGGGTGTATTTTTGTTTGTTTTCTTTTGCCCGCTAGTCTCATTTTAGGCGCCGTCTGCCTTCTGCCTCAGCCGTGCCAGTCAATCTTCTGAACGGTCATTGAAGCCGGCGTGCCGATGCATAGGGGCTGGGGGTGGGGGTGGTGGTGGGGGGTGGGGGTGGGGGGGGGGGGGCGTTGGCCGTCGGGGCACGGCAAGCTTTCTGTTGCTCGCCAAATTGGGTCCGGACAGCAGGGTCCGGAACTGGCGAGCAGCCAAATTTCTGACCAAACAAATAGCGCTCTGCCCCGCACTACGACGGTGGGGCCGCCGGCACCGGCCATGTGGTGACCACAGCGACTGCCGCACCGCCCGCAGGCCTCCAGCCAGGGCTCCGGGAGAGGCCCTGCGCGCGGGCCCGCAGCGAACGGACCGGGGGGGGGGGGGGGGGACGGCACTCACAACATTTACGTGGAGCGCTGGGCGCGGATGACCGGAAACTGGGCTCTAAAAGCACGGGTTGTTGATTTTGCGGTATAAGCAAACATTGTATGAATGAGTATTTTCCATTTTTAGTGAAGTGCTGAATTTGAGTTGATCAGCTCAAACACAGCCGCTCTTCCAAACGTTTCAACATTTTTGAACTTTTTTTGCAAAAGTTTCAGCGATCAAGACTTAAACCCATCTTTCTTCCATTTAACTCGGCCGGCACTTGCAATGCCACTTCGCTCTCGAGTAGAGTGTTTTGCTTGCTCCAGCTCGATGCCGCCACTCCAGTTGTGTGCTCGGCAACCGAGAGGGTTCGGTCGACTATCAGTGAGTGGAACGGACGTGTCGAATACAGATCCGCCTGACAGCCTCCGGGCCAATTCCGAGCGAGTACGGCCGCCCTCTCGCTCTCCGGAGCGCGGATCAGGCGCACGGTCCGACTGCCACAATTCTCCTCCCCGAGCGCGGCCCAGGCACACGATCCGACTGCCGCAGTTCTCCTCCCCAAGCGCGGACTCCGCTCGCGGACTCTGCTCGCGGACTCCGTCCGTGGGCTGTGTTCATGGGCTCTGTTCGCGGACTCTGCTCGCGGACTCTGTTCGTGGGCTCTGTTCGCGGACACTGCTCGCGGACTCTTCCCGTGGGCCCTGTGCATGGGTTCCGTTCGTGGGCTCTGTGCATGGGCTCTGTTCGTGGATTCTGTTCATGGACTCTGTTTGTGGACTCTGTTCGTGGGCTCTGTTCGTGGACTCTGTTCATAGGCTCTGTTCGCGGACTCTGCTCGTGGACCCTGACAGGCAGGCCGACTCCAGCAGGCGGCCCTTGGCCAGCGGGCTCGGGCGGCCTGTGCAGGTCAGCCTACATGGCCTGGGACCTGTTCTTCAGTGACAAATGGGGCCCATTCCTGCTTGGAGTTGGCCCATTTAACGCATGACATAGCAGCCTGACTCACCGAATAAGTCACGACCCAAGCCCATCTCTAACTTGGCCGAGAAGCGAAGTGAGTGCGTTTGTTTACAATCAAGCCGTGGCTGTTTACATAACAACGCCTAACAACGGCCGAAGCGCTGCTTTTATGTCGGCTAAACGGGCAGGCCTCGATCGCACGCGAATAGTGTGATCGACAATGATCTCGTCAGCCATAGAATTTCCCAATAACGGTTTAATCGAAACGGCTCCAGTGTGACATTTCCGCGCACTGGAGGTCTCCATAGGATTGAATCAGCTGAAACTACTTATTGCCAATGTTTGGCATTTTAGGCGTTCGTCAGTGCGCGTATCAGTGATGGCTGCCATCACAGGTTACAGGTCACATGTCAAAGGTCACAGGTCATTACCGCAATGAGACGAGCTGGGGCCCCAAGTTCATGAAGACCAGGGCCCTAGGGCCTAAAAAAATGCGCCCGTCTCGTGTCACCATCTCCCAATTGGTGCGTCGCGCACCATCTCTTCACACCGCCCCCCCCCCCCCCCCCCCCCCCCCCCCCTCTTGCCATCGCTGCAGCCGGGATACGCCAGGTCTCCGATAGATTGCCGCTCAAGTACATCCGGACGTCATGACGCAATATGGTGATCTCTGGCCATCTCGAGTCGCGGCCGACCCGAGCGTGGGCGGCCGCTATCGAGGACGGGGTTCAGCAAGGTCGCCGCACACCGCACGCTTCGGACGATGCTGCTTGTTGACCATGTTTGGGCTCTCACAGGGCACGGTCCCATCATTACTAGCTGCTCATTGTGAGGAAGGTTCTCTTCAGATCCAGCTGAAGACACCTGTCGTCCTGCGGTCGACCAAGAGAAAACAGAAGTCGGAACGAGACCTAATTATTTTTGGTAAATTTGTGCGTGGCCAACGAGCCCGATCCTTCGCCACAGCAAGGATCGGGCTGCCTATGATGATGCCTCCTAAGCCTAATCATCGCGCCATGCTAAACCACTCTCAGCTCCTACATCCAGTCCCGCAATCCTGTCTTCTGGCATTCTCACTGCTGCCCGCTCTTTTCGGCGCATCGCTTACCAGCATCAACCCCTGCAGTGATCAGACGCTACCGGAGCCGGCTGCATGACCGGCCGTTACCAACGCCTCTCACCTTTCTCACCGCCGCGTTGCCCGTGCCGCTCACCGTTCTCCTCCTCGTAGATGATGGCGACGCGGGTCCAGTTGAGGAAGGTCATGACGTCTCGCAGCGCTGCGTTCATTACGGGCTGATGAGGGTGCAGGTTGATACTGAACTCCTTGGCGTGTCGCTCCACGTCCAGCCGCGTCTCCACGTGCGGGATGTCGAGCGCGTCGCAGATGGACTGCACGTGCGCGCCAAGCAGCGGGTCCGACGGCCCGAAGATGGCGTACACGCCCTTCTCCACCAGCAGGCACGCTGTCGCACACAGATGGCAGCGGTCAGACCGGCCGGAGATGGCGCACACGCCCTTCTCCACCAGCAGGCACGCTGTCGCACACAGACGGCAGCGGTGAGACCAACCTGGGCCGTGCAACAGGGAAGAAAGGTGAATGAGAGCATTGTTGGACAGGGCGAAAAAGACAGAGCATTGAGACAAGAGAAGAGGAAGCGGAAAAATGTGTTTCTGACATTTCGTGACATTTTCAATATCAAAATCCCACTGTAATGTGGACCATACATCGCCTTTGCGCACAAACTCAGTAGACATTGAACATTCAGCACACGATAATATGCAAACCGAAAATAATAACCATTTTACCGCCTTTTTCACGCTGCAGCTGCAGACTTTCAAATTACCCAGGACGTAAAAGGTATAAGCGCCAACTGAACACGGTATCTTTCAGACCATATCAGCAATCCAGCAACTATTAACCATGACAGTCTTACATTCCAAAGGGACGTGCCATGCATACCGGTCTCCGAATTCCGGTGCAATTGTTTCCCAGCACACCGCCGCCTGTCACCGAGTCCCTCATCGCCTTATTCAGGCGGACGACAAGCATTCGCGGCGGACCGAAATTGGATTTGACAACGTCATCACAGGCTTCAGTGTGACGGCAACGCTCCGCTTTGGAGACAGTTAGCGACGCAATTAGCATATTAAATTACGCGGCATAACAGCGCCAAAGAGAGTTTTCCTCGTTCCCCACTTTTTATCAGACAGCACGATTGCCGAGTTTACAGGCGGCCGCGATTCCCCAGGTCTAGGGACAAATGGTTTCTAAAATCTCGCGAACACATTTGCATTACAAATGATGGCCACTGCTTCCAACCAAGCCGGCTGCGTGTGTGATGCAGGGTAGACCCCGGCTTCCGCGTGGATATCGGCCAGTTGGCAACAGCAGGACAAGACATTTAGCCCGCAATTAGGAGGTCACTGCCCAGTATTGACGCTTTCCAGTCTATTACCAACCCTTGTTATTGCCAGATAGCGTCACACCGTACCTCTTACTATGCAGATGCCTCACCTCACAATGACAAAGCCCTAACACGTCTGCGTTAACCACTGCGCGTTTAAGAAACCAGAGGTACGGCGTTCGACTCCGCGCTGTGCCCGGACTTCCTGCCAGAGTGAGGGACAGGCGACACCACATCACTACAGCAGCTGAGTGCGCTGTAAAGCCCGATGACGACGAATAACAAAGCCCCGAGTTTACAAGCGGCACATGAAGTAGGGGAGCGTTCCCCCCCCCCCCCCCCCCCTCCGCAGTGCGTGGCCCACGCGTCCGCCCCCCCCCCCCCGCAGTGCGTGGCCCGGGCGTCTGCCGCCCCCCCCCTCGGCAATGCGTAGCCCGCGCGTCCGCCCCCCCCCCCCTCCCCCTCCCGCAGTGCGTGGCCCGCGCGTCCGCCCCCCCCCCCCCCCGGCAGTGCGTGGCCCGCGCGCCCGCCGCTCTCCGATCCGCCGGCCTAGTGAAGGATCGGCGCAGACGTCACCGCCAGTTACAGTGTCGCCTGTTGGGCGGGGCGATCCCAAGAGAAGGACGACCGCCGGCCCGGCCCGCTCCGCCTCAGCAGTCGGCCGCCGTCGTGTCGTCACCAGGGAACGAGCCGCTTGCTGTGGAGTATCAGACGGGCGGGAGGTGCCGCAGCAGGTGGGAAGAAAGCAACATATTGCGGCTAGTTATGTGAACCCATGATGCAAATCATTGGCGTTGGGAGTTTGCATGCAAAAAAATCCAGTGACCAGGTGTGTGACGCTTTATTGAAGCGACATGATTGGTGCTGAAAGCCATCCGATGCAACAAACAAGCGCAGGCACCGACCATCCTGGGATATTGCAGGAGCAACGGGCCTGCTCAACAACATTCACACCATTCTGTTAAGCGTCCAGAGCCACCAGAAATTTTCATACACCTTGGGTATATTGTTTTGCATGCTTGCCATGCAGGTCTACTTCTCGTCATCACACACGCACACTTCCTTCTTTCTACAAGCCTTCGAAGGAAACATTTTTTCCGGCATGCACCATGCCCGCATGGTCGTGCCCGCGCCCACCTGCTACCCATAACACACAAACCCTACCCGCCCAATTCCCACTCTCTCAACTGCTCTATGTAAAGGACACAAATGTTTTGAGAAGCTTTCGGGAGATTTGCGGCACATTTGAATGCCTTTGTTGTTCTAAGATTAAACCGTCCATAATTAGACAAACAGCCATCACCAAGAGCATAACCAGCCCACCGCGCCTGCAGCTTTTCAAACAGTCAGCACCAAGCATGACCCATCAACCAGCCCGCCGCGCCTGCAGATCTCCTAACAGTTAGCACCAAGCATGACCCATCAACCAGCCCGCCGCGCCTGCAGCTCTCCTAACAGTTAGCACCAAGTACGACCCATCAAACAGCCCACCGCGCCTGCAGCTCTCCTGACAGCCAGCACCAAGCACGACCCATCAACCAGCCCACCGCGCCTGCAGCTCTCCTAACAGTCAGCACCAAGCACGACCCATCAACCAGCCCACCGCGCCTGCAGCCCTCCTAACAGCCAGCACCAAGCACGACCCACCGACCAGGCCACCGCGTCTGCAGCTCTCCTAACAGCCAGCACTAAGCACGACCCATAAACCAGCCCGCCGCTCCTGCAGTTCTCCTAACAGCCAGCACCAAGCACGACCCATCAAACAGCCCACCGCGCCTGCAGATCTAACAGTCAGCACCAAGTAAGACCCGCAGCCAACCGGCCGCCGCGACTGCAGCTTTTCAAACAACGAATGACACACACTTATCTAAATTCATAAACAAAACAAAGCAAAGCTGAAACATCACAAGGACAAGAAATTTATTTATTACAATGACTCCAAACTCATGTCAAAGTGCTGGTCGCACTGTTCATTACGACGTCCATTCTGGTAACCTGTCGGGTCGCCGGCATTTACCTGATCTGTCCTTCAAGCTTTCGACATGTCTGTTCAGGTCGTGCAAGTCTCGTTTTAGTTTTAGGTGTTGAGACTGCCTGGCAGTGACATGATGCATTTCCGAAACCTCTTTCAGCATGGCGCGTAATGTGTGCAAGCTCTTCCCCAGTCTGCATGTCTACGACCACGCTATTCTGCATAAAACTATTTGCGCTCGGAACCTTCTTCCATGACGATAAAACGAGACCTTTCCCCGGCGGTCTCATCGCACCGTCTTGCTAGGATGCTTTCTGTTAACTTCATTCAACCCTAAGCTTCTCACAAGGCTGCAGTTTGACATTGGCTTCACATGGTAGTCTTTCGTAAAGCAACCTTTTATCAGCCGAATTGTTTTCCTGAAAGCAAAGATTTTTCATGCTGACGTCGAGAGTGAAAGTTTCAAAAGCCGAAGTCCAGGGAGAACTGAGGTTTTGGGGTTTCATAAGACCAACCTCATCGGCTGAGACCCATCCCCACCGATCGATAAAAATAGTGACATCCTTGGATCAAAGTTCTTACTGTATGGGATCGTCACCTAGGTAAGCACAGAGACATAGTTTAGTCTTATTTTCCTCGAGACATTCCACACACCCACAATATAAGTTGGCAAGCTATTTAGCGGAATTAAATCTAACCTTTTCATCCACCAGAGTTTTGGAGTGACCGTGCTTCACCTTCTGCCCCAACCACAGCATTCTGGAGCTATCGCGCTTCACCTTCTGCCCCAACCCAGCATTCTGGAGTTACCCCGCTTCACCTTCTGCCCCAACCCCAGCCTCCGTCCATGGAACACACTGAGCTCCGCGCTTCCCATTTCCTTCCGGAGAATGGGCCAGAGATGGCCTGATATATGATGATTTCAGATGGCAAAAACGCTAACAGCCCACCAAGATATTAGCTCTGTTTTTGTCACCATCCATTTCCAGTTTGTTGTGAGCATAATGGCACAGAAAGCATTAGGGTGAGTGATGGTGAGGAAACGTTATCTGCATGCGTTTTGTGTCCGGACAAAGTCAACGTTGACTGATGTCCATCTACAGTGAGTCAAACGTTGTCGGTTTGCGTTTTGTATTCAAAGTAAGCGTTACCTGATATTCGCCAGCAGCGAGTCAAACGTAAACTGGCTGAACTGCGTTTTGTGGTCAGGCAAGGCAAACATCGACTGACGTCTGTCAACAGCGAGTCAAACGTTAGCTGCATGCGTTTTGTGGTCAGGCAAGGCACACGTCGAGGTCTGTCAACAAAGGTCTGTCAACAGTGAGTCAAACGCGAACTCAAAACCAAGCCGCACCCATGGCTGGGACTTGAGATGTTTGCCAGGAGTCATCAATCGTAGTTTTTTACCCGATTGCTTTGACCGAGCCTGGCAGCGTGTTTGCATTGCATGGCTTGATCTGAATGCTTCGGTATTCACGATAATAAAAACGGAAAAAGACTCCTCCACGCGGAGGGAGGGGACGGGACACCCGCTCTCCAACCTGCGAAATAGTGCGCGAGGCGTGGAGTGGGAATGTGCACTTGTGCGGGAGTTCCAGCTCAAATTATGTGCCATGTGTGAATGACTATCAAGTTTTGGTGCAATACTGCGTGTTTTCGTGCTATATGCAGGCATTGCATGGAAAGAGGTGACGATAATTCTAAGGTATTTAATTCATGCCTCTGAGGCATTGTAAAATCAGATGTTGCCGTACCATTTAGACAGCAGTGTGAAAATGTCACTTTGACTCAAAATCAGATGTTGCCGTACCATTTAGACAGTAATGTGATAATGTCACTTTGACTCAAAGTTACGACCATCCATACAGTAGCTTTTTTATTACGCAATGCCACTGGTGGTCAAAAACATAGGCATGTGTAGTACATATGAAACATAGGTGCCACTTGTAATATGCATGCCCTAACATTGGACAGTGTGTGGGGGAGTTCACGGACTGGTTAAACCCACGGGCACCCGCAGGGAATAGGTGACGGGTTGAGCTGGTTATAGCTCTGGGTGGGGCTGGGTAGCCGACTTAAGGAAAATTACAGTTTTGGAATATGAACAAGTTAATCGGTAAGGCTTTCACGAAATGTTGAGCTTTTACTTCAAGAAATACTACAGAGTGTTACTGATCGAGCTCCTTAAAGTCAATTTTAGCTGACTATTCAGGCTACCATTGCAAGTGCTCAGGCTAAAAAGAGTAAACTTGTGTGGAAACATTCCTGAAACATTTCCCCCATTTAGAACTACAGAGCTGGAGAAATGCAAACGGACTGGCAACGGGTGAGTGCAACTGATGAGTAATGGGTAGCGGGTGGTAGGTAGTGCACGACCAGCAGCGAATGAGCTGAGCACAGGGAATCTTATCTGCGAAGGCATACATAGAACCGTGTCAGGTACCTACGTGTCACTCTAGGATCGGAGAGGTCAAGGCTCGGTGCCTAGTCAGTGAATGGTGATTGGCGATGAATGCTTGCTTTTGGTGACATTGATGACAATTAAATTTTAAAACAGCAAAATCTCTCAAAAAAATGTGCGTTCATCTAAACTAATCTTAAGCCATGTATGTCACCTTCACACAGGGGTTTTAAGACTGCACACGGGTTAGTCAATGGAAAGTTGAGGTCTATTCAACGGAAAGCGCGTGGGCACGGATATGACAAGGCAGGTACAGGATTGGCAGGAGTATGAACATTCTACCCGTACACACCACCACGGCATTTGCCACAGAATCCCGTTTTCAAGCAATCTCCGGTCATGACTGCGTTAATAGTAAGCAATCCGTATTAGATTTCGGACAAGACTTTAGGCAAGGATTCGCATCATGAACCAGTCAGTATCAACGACTCAAACTCCCATCCACTGACCGACTAGTTTCATTCATATTTGACCGCTCGAAAGCTGGACTGGAACTGACATACTTCGTAAGCTTACACGGCGCGATTTATGAGTCAGCGTTTCGTGGCCTCTGCCTATGAATGTCGGCATGGGTCATCACATTCAAAAGTAGAGCTTGCGCAATCATCTTCGTCTTGTTACGTTCTTGGCCTCCTCCGGACCATCCTGCGCTCAACTGAGGCTGCAGCCTGAACCCGGCCCAGCCTGACCCTCCCCAGCTGACCCCGTTCTCCAGCTCTGGACCCCGCTACAGGTCTGACTCCGACTCACCCTGACCCTCCTCAGCTGACCCCGCTCTCCAGACCCGGACCCCGCTACAGGTCTGACTCCAGCCCACCCTGACCCTCCTCAGCTGACCCCGCTCTCCAGACCCGGACCCCGCTACAGGTCTGACTCCAACCCACCCTGACCCTCCTCGGCTGACCCCGCTCTCCAGCTCCGGACCCCGCTACAGGTCTGACTCCGACTCACCCTGACCCTCCTCAGCTGACCCCGCTCTCCAGACCCGGACTCCGCTACAGGTCTGACTCCATCCCACCCTGACCCTCCTCAGCTGACCCCGCTCTCCAGACCCGGACCCGCTACAGTCTGACCCCGGCTCACCCTGAGCCTCCTCAGCTGAGCCCGCTCTCCAGACCCGGACCCGCTACAGGTCTGACCCCGGCCCACCCTGACCCTCCCCAGCTGACCCCGCTCTCCAGACCTTGACCCGCTACAGTCTGACCCCGGTTCACCCTGACCCCCCTCAGCTGACCCCGCTCTCCAGACCCGGACCCGCTACAGGTCTGACCCCGGCTCACCCTGAGCCTCCTCAGCTGACCCCGCTCTCCAGACCCGGACCCCGACTACAGATCTGACCCCGGCCCACCCCGACCCCCCTCAGCTGACCCCGCTCTCCAGACCCGGACCCGCTACAGATCTGACCTCGGCCCACCCTGAGCCTCCTCGGCTGACCCCGCTCTCCAGACCCGGACCCGCTACAGATCTGACCTCGGCCCACCCTGAGCCTCCTCAGCTGACCCCGCTCTCCAGACCCGGACCCGCTACAGATCTGACCCCGGCTCACCCTGAGCCTCCTCAGCTGACCCCGCTCTCCAGACCCGGACCCCGACTACAGATCTGACCCCGGCTCACCCTGAGCCTCCTCAGCTGAGCCCGCTCTCCAGACCCGGACCCCGACTACAGATCTGACCCCGGCTCACCCTGAGCCTTCTCAGCTGAGCCCGCTCTCCAGACCCGGACCCGCTACAGATCTGACCCCGGCTCACCCTGAGCCTCCTCAGCTGAGCCCGCTCTCCAGACCCGGATCCCAGCTACAGCTGACCCCGGCTACAGCTCTGACCCCGGCTCACCCTGACCCTCCTCGGCTAACCCCGCTCTCCGACGCCGGGACTCCAGCCGCTCACCCTGTTTGCTGGCGTGGAAGCTGTTGTCGCGCGGAGCGTACTCGATGTAGTGCTTCAGCGTGGTGTTGGGCAGGATCTTGCTGTCGCGGTTGACCCGCAGCACCGCGTACTTAAACGCCATTTCCACGGCGCTGTCGCGCTGGTCATCCGTGAATATGGCGCCTGGAAGGGGAAGCCAGCTCTCGTCAGGCCGCCGTCCACTCGTGACCCCGGCGGCACGGCCAGGCACTGGCTCGTCCACTGGCTGGAGAGGCTGCAGGCGACATGTTATATGGCCGCTGGATGTGGTGGCTGGTCCGGGGGCGCCCGTTAAAGGGGGGTATTGATTCGATACGTAATTGATTTGACATGGAACTCCTCAAACGCCACTTTTATGTCAAAGCATTTCTATTATAATTATTATAAGGCCCATTAAAGCTCAGAGTTACTTTCTTCATATCGTGACAATCACACCTCCATATAATCACACCTCCACGAAACCGACACGACGACATTGGAAATCAAATCCAGAGTCAAGACAGTAACGTAAAGCCGAAGTCGAACCCAAAATCAAAGCCGAGGCCCGGAGGTGAGAAACTGAGGTGGAAGCCGAATCCACTGCCTTTGGAGTTTGAAATTGTGAAGCTGAAGCAGAAGTAAGTGAATCCGTATCTTTAAAAAGCAACACTGAATCCGCTATCAGTTTCGATGCAGATTCATTTTCGATCCGGATTTAAATCCGAATCAGGATTTCGAAACTTCGAAAAAATCAAACTCTGCAAACGCAAAACCTGGCCTGAGTCATCGGCTTGGAACCTAGGAAATGCAGAGGCAAAGCCGAAACCAACAGATAAAAATCACAGGGTCGAGGCCGAATCAGAATCTAGCATACAACATCGTTTTGAGAAACTATCATTTTTGCATCTGCTTAAACTGTATGTGGATCAGGAAGCATCACTAATGTTCCGCGGATGATTGGGGCGATGTTAGCATAAGGATGGACTTTTCCGAATCATCGACCTGTCCTTGTGTTGTACAGGACGTTTTGGAATTATTTTCTAGCAGTCTTCAGATATTGATAAGTTCCGGTAATGATCGGCTGGTTTTTGACTTTTAACTATTTGTGCGTTGCTACCTCGGAACGATGTGTGGGTTACGGGGCTGACAGAAAAGGTACGACCGTTTCGTGAAGTAGGTCCGCAATTGCAGCGAAAAACAGAAGTTCAAGGTCAAACCAGGTCCGGATAGCCCGAAGCTGAATCCGTGGCCACAGCTAAAAAAATTTCGCAGCCGTAGCCGAAGGCAGCGGCTTAAATCACACCAAGCTGACATCATTCTTGTAAAATGGCTCAAACCGGGAGTCGAAACTGTTGGAGGATAAGCCACCAGACTTAGCTAAGCCGAGAGCGTAGCTGGGCTGGTCTCCATGCCTGGCTGATACACTTTACCACACGCCCTCGGATATTTTCCATGCGGGGAGATGGTCGATGCTTCCCAGATTCTTGCCTCCCGACCGTTAATCGAAGCCAATCACACAAATCACTGCCTCATTAGGCAGGCCAGATTACCATGCGTTATACGGCGCGGAAAACCTCCAGACCGCTGATAGGAGCCGAAGAAGGCGCTCGGATCGGAGGATAGACCCACTCTAGCAAGACCGAACGTGGCTGTAATTATGTGTCTGCATCACCTGTTGTCACTACACAATTGCCGACATGGACGAATCGGCTCCATGTACATTGAACAACACTTGAAAACACTGAACAGCTCAAAAGGCGCCCGAGCACCTGGCCGGGGCGGCACTGTTATAGTGTACAGCTGTGTCGTGCGACATGGCGTGGACGACGTGTCGGGTGGGGGTGATGCGTTTTGGGCGCGCGAGCAGGCCAGTTAATACGCATCGCCGACGAGGTTGGTGAAGAAGGCGGCATTGACGGCGAGTCGCTCGCAGCGGTAGCGGACGTGCATGACGGCCGCATAGCGACCAGCTGTTCCGCCAGCCGCTGTGCTCCACCACACCGAACAATGGGTAGATTATGTACTCTACCCAAGGCTCGGGTGCATCTGTGGCAGGTCTTCGGTGATGAAGGAATAGAGCGGCGCCTGGTCCAGTTTCTCATGGACCTGCATGTGCCGGTTGACCGTACACAGTCTGAAGCTGCACATCTCGAGCCGCTTCAGGCGCGCAGTCAGCACCGGCGGTGCGCTGTGCACCAGCAGGTGCTTCCTGGCGCTAGTGTAGACGGTGCCACAGCCCGACTGGAATCGCCAGTGACGTCGCAGGGCTGGCCGGACGTTGGGCTAGCTCCAGGCTGGGCTCTCTCTGGGCTGTTCGGCCACTGGGCTACCTTCTGGCTGGGCTCTTGCTGGACTGGCCGGCCGCTGGGCTAGCTCCCAGTCGGGCTCTCGCTTGGTTGGCCGGCCGCTGGGCTGGCTCTCTGCTGAGCTGGCCGGTCGCTGGGCTAGCTCCTGGCTGGGCTCTCGCATGGCTGACCGGTCGCTGGGCTGGGCTCCTCGCTGGGCTGGCCGGTCGCTGGGCTGGCTGGTCGCTAAGTTGGCCGGTCGCTGTGCTGGCTGCAGGCTGGGCCCCCGCTGGGCTGGCCGGTCGCGAGTCGGCGGCAGCGCAGCTCGGCGCGACGCTCCCAGCCGAGCCGGCCGCAGCCTGCGAGCAGCTCGGACGCCGTATCGCCGTATCCCGGTTCAGGCCGGTGAGCAGGCTACAGTGGCCGGGCGCCGACTCGTCGTAGCGCGCCGACAGCGTAGTCAGCGCCCTACTCAACCAGTCGGAGCGCGCGGGCGGTCTGCCGACGTCCCGACGACCGGACCAGACCAATACGCCGTTCGGGGCGGCTGCCCCGGGGCCGAGGTCCGCGATAGTGTTCCGTAATTGACTTTGCTTGACCTGTCCTTGTTCTTCTAACAACACTACTCCTTCTCGGTACTGCTCAGCCCCTGACGAAAACCTGATTCTTGATCGTGGTCGACACAAACTAACCCTTTCTTCGTCGGTAACAACGCCAGGGGTTACGACGGACATTACCATATCCTGGGAGAGGCACAAAGCGAGAAACAAGATCCCATTTCGCCGGCTGCCAAAGTGCTGGGTTTGTGTGGTACCAGTGCTCCAGTCACCAGCTGTGACTACCTCTCTGTGTTACAGGCCCTGAGTGACTCGCGGACTCCAGTGAGGTCCGGTCCCTGTTGATTCCACGTAGCGCTGTGTCCTCGGCGCGCCGCCTGGGCAGCAGTGGCGGGCTTACTTAAAGGGGGTGTCCCATTTTTGGGGCATGTTTCAAAAACATACTCCAATGAAACCGCAAGACCAGTTGCGTCTCATAATAACACTGGGTAGTTAGTGCCACTGCAGTGCCACCAAGGCATTATATGGGTATCAATTTCAACTATTTTCGAGGCCCAAACCACGCTGTCAACGCTTTGTAACAGCGCTACGCTTGTATACAGTTGCGACAGCCGTCGTCATGACGTCGGCAGAATCTGCTGTGTACCGCTGTTAGCTGTTACTGAATGACGTCGCCATATCTTACGCAGCCGAAAGAGATGAAATTTCAACGTAGCGACTAAGTTCGTTGTGGAGCTTAAGCAAGGAAGCGTAACGTAAAAGACACTGCTCTCGCCATCATCACTACCTCCCACAAGCCCTGGTTTACCTCCACGCGGTTATTTTTTGTTTATGTTTGGGTTCGTGTTTTCCTTGTTTCAGCTTTCGGGCTATTTCCTTCGCTTTCTCGCTGCATTGTAAATGAGGCAGCAGAAACCTTGATCATGCATGCTAGTGTCGATATGGTGCTTTTCGATCCAAGCACGCCCGGGTGTATTGGCTTTAAAGGATCAAACCATCACCGTCCTGAGAAAAGCATATCCATTCGAATGCGAGCAGCCACGTTTCACTTGCACAAACCACCTGTCAAATAACGTCGCCGGAGCAATGGGTCGTTATACGGCGATCAGCGCACACAAAGGACGGACGAGGCCTCTCGCTGAGGCGGGCTTTGTGGAGGCGTGTCCAGCTCGCGTGGCTCGTAGCTCGTGGGCGGTCGCTCGGAGAGCCAAGCCGGGCTGGCATCAGGCGCTCTGCCATCGCACTTTGGCACTAACCGGCAATGTGAGAACGGTGATTGGTGCTGTAAGTATGCTGGGAGCGATGGTTCGCGGTAGAGCTACGATATGGTACGATGGTGGGACGTAACAACAGAAAGAAATATTTGTTTGACTTCATCGTTGGCCATTGTAAGCGGGCAAATGTAAATCCATATCTAGCGTCGCCCGCTCTGTAAAATTTGTATCATCAACATTGGCTCGAGTCCCTGGTCAAAGAACTTAGCGTTCTATGCCTGCAAGCTAAGCCGTTCGCAATGAATACAAAAGGCGTAAAACCAGTTCAAAACGAACATAGAATCTGCGGGAAGTATAGGATCCATCGTTTGGTATCCGATGAATGAATGGGTGGCATATCATCGGATGCATCGCTTGGGAAATGTCGTCTCAAACTGCTTTCCTGAAAACGCAACGCACTCTGAAACCAAGCAATGGCCATCGGCCACGACGAGCTCAGACACTCGGAAGGCGTGGCAGCGGCATGCTGCACGTTGTCGAGGACTTTCGCTGCGTCCGTGGTCGTTAGCGTCGTAACAAGGCCGTCTCGATCAATGCCACTGGCTAGTGAGCCGGCAAGAAACAACGTGGACGGGTCAAAGGCGACCCGGGCAAAAAATATTTGTTCACACCCGGGGCATACAATGTGACAGTCCACCAACAACGGAATGAGGGGTTTTCCGTCTGTTGCTCGCAGAGTTTAGTTACCAGTGTCAACACTACGATTGATATGAGCTACTTCATCAATGTTTTTGTCTTGTAAAGGGGATGGGGAACAAAAAAAAGTTTCCTTACAACATTTCTGTCACAGAACAGGCAGGAATCGGGACGCCAAAGCCCATGACAGAAACGAAAAACCATTCCAGGCAAAGCAAGTAGCAGAGCCTCGAATCATGACATTTTGAGTTTATCATCATAGCGACTGCAAATCGCACTAAGGGAGAAAACTATTATAGCCAAGAACCCTGTGGTTGTGGTCGTAACTTGTCTTTTCTCTAGACGGTAATAGACCAAAATTAGCTCCCTTTTTATCTGTTGAATTTGCAAGGAACATTATGCATATTAATAAG